TTAGTGAGTTAGAAATGATTCAAGAGACTAAACAAAGAAGACTCGAGTAAAGACCTCAGTAGGACTCATGATCTAAAGCTGCACCGAGCAGGAACTTCCAGGTACAGAATCTCACCTCTGCACCACTGATGGATTACAGTCATGAAAAACTCCAAACAAACAACTGCACACCAGAGTCACATGCTAGTAAAGAAATAGACATGAAATTCTTTAAGTGCAAGAAAATTCTTATCTCAAAGCCTTCTGCATACAATTTTCCTCCTCATGTCTAGATTTATACGACCTCTTCCCTTTGTATGATGTATCGGGACGGCTGGAGCTAAACCAGCTAATATTTCTGTCTTGAAATCACTCAGAAACAATTCAGTTTTACTAGATTATAAAAGGAGGAAACCGTCTTCTAAGAAGGCTGATGCTTTTGAATAGAGTCAGATGATCTTCTTGATTAACTGATCAAACCACGCTACCCACTATCCCACTTTAACTTGTCCAAATATCCAAAACAAAAAATGTGTGTGTTATGAGCAGTGAGGTGCAGAGAAATTCAAATATTTGAAAGGATAGAGCAAATATGAAGTTTTTTCACACAATCTCTGAGCATGAGAGAACAGTCGCTGTTAAACCTGAGTCTGTGCTATATCAGATTGCACTAAAGTGCAAATAGTGCAGCAAATATTCTGGTTTCACTCTGAGCTAGTGGTCATCATCTCTGCGTATTTCCCCAAGTGCAAGCGTGCTTGACGTGAACCGACTCTGCTGCTGCAATACTCCAGAAATGTACAGAAACCTATTAGAAGGGTTTGAGAAATTACTGAGGAAAATTATAGAAAAAACACTTTTAGCTCATTAACTGGATTTAATTAAACAGAAATATTCTGTTAATTTAGAGTAAATTATGTTTACTCTTGTTTAAACTTCATTTCTGTCAGAAGTTTATCCAGTTTATTATGACAGGCCATGCTCGATGTTTTATAAACTGACAGAAATTCAGTTTTTCTGCTTTTCTTCTTTTGCAGATTTCACACTTTCAAACTGGGCCTCATTAGACCCATTGGTGGGAGGATTCTGGCCTCACTGGCTGCATGCGTGATACGCCTGCACTAGAGGTAAGAGCCAGTGAGTATTTTTGTAAAGCGCTCTTAAAGAGTAACCTGACCTATCAACAGTAGTTCTTGGAAAGCAAAAGGATGTTTTAATATGCTCATAATGTGAGTCATGGCCTCTGCATATGTTCACGTTTACCCAGAAAACAGAGAATTGAATAAAAAACTGTCAGATCTGAGATGTTTTTCAGTGCTCCAGAGACCAAAGTTATGAAATGGGCTCTAAACAACGGCACAGGGCTCACCTTGGCAAAGCGTCTGTTGTAATGTGCCACCACCTTGGGGTCAGGGCAGTCCAGCTTCTTGATAATCTCAAAGCTCTGATTGAGCTGAGTGAAGATGTCCACCACCGAGCTGGAGAACAGAGCATGCTCAGATGTCTGTTGAAACTACAGACAGAGGAACAAGAGGACATTTTTTTACTTTGACACAAATAAAAAAACAAACAGTCTCCCTACGCTGTGTTCCTCCTTCCTGACTCGTCCTTCCCTTCTTTCATTTAATGCACCGTATTCTTCAAATACTAATATTAAACCTACACCTTTTCGATGTATTGCTCTTTTTGCATCTTATATACTCCACAAAAGGTTCAGCTCCAACTTGCAACTATGTAACCTCTTTTTACCACTTTCTTAATGATTTTTATGAGTCAAGATAAAATGAGAAAAACGTATCTAAATGCTTAATCTTTGCTGTTGTTGTCCTCTTTCGATGTTTGAAAATGCACATGGAGGCCAAGCCGTGTGAGCATGACTGAAAATAACCACCTGCTCAGGCCACAAAAAGGGCCAAACCTCCTTTAGGACACACAATAGCACAATAAACCAACAAATAGGACGGCAGAGTGCAGCTTGGGGATCAAGAGGAGGCAGACAAACACTTGTTCATCATTCTTCTAATCTACGAAAAGTCGGCCAAAAGCAGAAGGAACCAAAGGGAGAATTTGAACAAAAGGTCATGAGTCTGAAGCTGTCTTTTATTCTGTCAGTACTGCAGAAAGCTTTCCTTTTTACTGCATCGTTGTTCTACTGCGGTTGCACTCTGGTGCCATGACAACAACATGATCAACAACTCTTCCTCTGTGCTCTCAGCTGCTGGGTGCATCAAGCACAATCAGGTTGTATCTGTTATGTGATATTAGATGTGCTGTTTTGTAGGTTTATTTGAACAACAGCCTGATAATATATATTTTTAATCACAGGCACAACCTGCAACAGAAATGCTCACATTTAAGCAGCTTTCATGCGACCTTTTATCAGGATGTCTGAAACTTCTGGAGTGATTTATATTTGTGCTTTTTCATTTTTAAGATGTGCGTCACCTTCCACTTTACATCTCACGTCCCCTCCTCTGCCTCATGTAAGCACCGTGACCTCAGCAGTGTCCAAATGGCAAGAAAACATAAATTCATCACATTTAGGCAAACCTTGTAAAGTAATATCGCTCATAATGGACGAGATCACAAACATAACGTCTCATTTTCACGAGCGAGAAGCCAGCAAATTGTTCCCGTTTCCCATGATTCAATTCTGTTTTGTGGTAAAGCAATTTACAGGAAATACAGAAACGTTCACTGAAGCTTTATAGAATTAAATTACACATTTTCTTCAAAGAGGACAGTTTTTGATGCTCGGATAACGACGTTGTTGAAACTGACGAGAAAAACAAGGAATGCATAACTAAAAATCTCTCTTGTTTATTACACGCGGAGAAGTACGCATACCTTTATTTAGAAAGCGTAGCCATGACGTTCATAATGTCCCCACATCATCAGTTCTCATTCACACGGCTTCACTAGCAATAACATCTCCCCCACCAGCTCCTCACAAACAAACAGGATCGAGAGGCACACCTGAACAAAGGCTGGAACCCACGTGTACGCTGTGCCAGTGCTCAGCCCAGATACTCGAATGTGCCCGAAGCCTCAGCGTTTTGACTTTCAGCTAAGGACAGTGTGGGAGATCTCTAAGGGGTCGGGGGCTGACAGTGAGGCTTGACACAACGAAACCGTGTAAGGCTAAAAGCTCTGACGTAAGCCTTTGTTCAAAAACAGCAGCAACAAAAATAATATGGTTGTTGTGCACACACACATCTGATTTTTGAGCATGAGCATCACGACAACGACGTGGAAAAAAGCAAGATCAGGATCAGAGCTGCAAGATGACGTTTTTGTCCACAGATTATTAAACAGTTTGTGTTTTTAAAAAAATATTCATCCACTTAGCAAAAAGTCAAAAATGATGCTGGTAAAACTGGTTTATGTTTACATAATCAATGGACTTTTTAGCCAGATCAGCCCATCACAGCTAGCCTGCTGATACTCCACCACCCCGAAGATTTCTTCAAACATGACATGAAATGAGCTCTTCTGGATTAAAAACCCGTGTTTGACCGAGCACTACCTCCTCTTCCCTGCGTACATCTTCATTCAGACTCTAACAGAGAGCTCTGACGATAAACTTGCTTATTCAAAGGAGTCTGTGACACTTTTGTTTTGCTCACGATGACGTGACAACTTTCAGCAAACAGAATAATTTCTCCGGAGTCTGACTCACCCCTTCTCTCTTGTCTCTCTCCAGCGCTCCGTGCATAAACTCCATGGATACCTCCTCATTCTCAGCGAGCCAGGCAAGGACAAACTGGAGAAACCATCTGAAGGAATAATAGGAAACAGACAAAGCTAAACAAAGTTTAATCTTCTCTTTGACAGCCTGAAAAACTGGAACGTTTGCAGATTGAAAACGTTTTCAAAGCTCATCTGTCCATGTACGATCTGAGCCTTGAAAAGATCCGATATGTGATTAGTAATAACAGC